TAATCCTCCGCCTTGCGGCGCCGGCACACCGGGTTCTAGTCCCGGTCGGGGCGCTGGATTCTGTCCTGGTTGCCCCTCTTCCAGGCCAGCTCTCTGCTATGGCCCGGGAGTGCAGTGGAGGATGGCCCAGGTGATTGGGCCCTGCACCCCATGGGAGACCAGGATAAGTACCTGGCTCCTGCCATCGGATCGGCGCACTGGCCGCGGCGGCCATTGGAGGGTGAACCAACGGCAAAGGAAGACCTTTCTCTCTGTCTCTTTCTCACTGTCAACTCTGCCTGTCAAAAAATAAAAAAAAATAAAAAATAAAAAAAAAGAAGAAAGAAAGTCAGAGTTACAGAGAGAGAGGAGAGGCAGAGAGAGAGAGAGAGAGAGATCTGCCGTCCAATGATGGTTCACTCCCCAGATGGCCGAAGTGGCCATCCAAAGCCAGGAGCCAGGAGCTTCTTCCGGGTCTCCCACATGGGTGCAGGGACCCAAGAACTTGGGCCATCTTTTACTGCTTTCCTAGGCCATAGCAGAGAGCTGGATTGGAAGAGCAGCAGCCGGGACTAGAACTGGCACCCATATGCATGCTGGTGCTTCAGGCCAGAGCGTTAGCCTGCTGCGCCACAGTGCCGGCCCCTAAATTTATTTATTTTTTTATTTTATTTTATTTTATTTTTTTGACAGGCAGAGTGGACAGTGAGAGAGAGAGAGAGAAAAAGGTCTTCCTTTTCTGTTGGTTCACTCCCCAATGACCGCTGCGGCCGGCATGCTGCAGCCAGCGCACCGCGCTGATCTGAAGCCAGGAGCCAGGTGCTTATCCTGGTCTCCCATGCAGGTGCAGGGCCCAAAGACTTGGGCCATCCTCCACTGCACTCCCAGGCCACAGCAGAGAGCTGGACAGGAAGAAGAGCAACCGGGACAGAATCCAGTGCCCCGACAAGGACTAGAACCCGGTGTGCCGGTGCCACAGGCAGAGGATTAGCCTAGTGAGCCGCAGCACTGGCCCCCTAAATTTATTTTTAAAACTAATTTACATCTCTACTATACGTTGAAAGTAATCCATAATAAAAAGAAGTGATGTTAACTAGCTGGGTAACTGCAGGGAGCACAGTTATTAGAGAGCTGGTTAACAGCACCGTACGGAGAGTTTCTTTGACCTATACAGGACTGTAAAAGAACCAGAAAGAGATGATTTTTCTGAGGGTCTTGTGTCAATGCCACCTAATGCTGTGTCCTCCCAGAAGCATTGTGTAGTGTTCTCCTACTTGCTAAAGTCATCCTACAAACTGTCAATTGCAGGAGCCACATAGTTCATGAAACTCCACGTCATATCCTGTAGTGGATTGTCTGATTTTCAGTCCCTGGTGGTTCCTGGTTCTTAAGCATCAGTTATTTTGTCCTCAGATTCCCCCTGGGTGTGTGGAGTATTCTATAAATAAATACCAGCAGGGCAGGGGAGCTGCCTGTTTAAAGCAAAGCTGGGTCAAATCCTTTGTCACGTGAAGGATGCTGCAGAGGTAGAAGTAATTGCCCGCTCTTTATTGGTGGAGAAAGCCCTGCAGTCCTACAGCTCCATCTGACCTTGTGAGAGGAAGTGTGCAGAGTTCCCTCTGGTAAGAAGCCCAAGCCTTGCTAGATGGATCGTGCTCTACAAACGCTCCTCAGTGAAGAATGTACCCTGAGAGGAAGACAGGGCCGGAAGAGAGCTTCCTCGATGCTGCTTGTGACACCCGCGGCAAGCTCTGAACGTGATGGTCACCTTCAGTTCAGGGCTCCCTTCCCCGGTGTCAGCGTCTATGATTTATTTAGCTCTGGGCATAACATGATCTGATTCCTCAGCCAAAGGAGCACTGTGCCATTAACTCCCTGCAGTTCAGGGATCAGAGCTCACGGTGGCCCTCAGCAGTTTCGAAGGACTTTGTGTAATACAGAGAAGTCTTCTAGAAAATGACAGGTCTCGTGTTCATCAACTCATTTGCAATCCACTGTGTTCAGATTTGTGCACAGATTCCCTTCACCCTGATGAATTCGCTTTCTCCTTGATGGTGAGGCCCTTTAACAGGGTATTTTTTTTTTTTTAAGGTTTACTTATGTATTTGAAAGATAGAGTTACAGAGAAGGGGGAAGAGGCAGAGAGAGAGAGAGAGAGAGAGAGAGACTGCGCTTCCATCTGCTGGTTCACTCTCCAGATGGCCACATTGGCCAGGACTTGGCCATGCACAAGCCAGGAGCCAAGAGCCAGGAGCTTCTTCTTCTGGGTCTCCCACATGGGTGTAGAGGCCCAAGCACTTGGGCCATCTTCTGCTGCTTTTCTAGGCACGTTAGCAGAGAGCTGGATTGGAAGTGGAGCAGCTGGGACTAGAACCAGGAACTATATGGGATGCCAGTGTTGTAGGCAGTGACTTAACCCACTTTGTCACAACGTCAGCCCCAGTATGGTATTTTCATATGTGACTTCTCCGGGGAATTTTGTAATTACTGAAAGAGGAAAAAGGTCAGTTCTCTTAGAGCCCCTAAGACAAACAAAACAGGACTGAGCCCATTTTGTAACTTTGCTTTCCATTAATCCATTATCCCTTATTTGCATGCTGTGCTGTACTGGGCACTGAGAAAGAAAGCCAATGAATGTGCCTGCCCTCAAAGGCCTCTGGTTCTAAAAGGAGAAACAAGCCAGTGATGTAAGTAGGCTGGGAGAAGGGCCTGCAGTGACTAAGAAGCTAAGTGGGACATTGAGTTGGGAACAGAGTATGGGCTATGCCCCTTGGACGGAGGTGGCTTTCATCACTGTAGACTCTGGACCCACCCAGTTGCACGTGTGTAACTGCAAAGAAGCCTGTAACACACCTGTGTATGTGTCTGGCTGCCCCTCTAGACTGTGAGGGCCTTGCTTAGCCAAATCTCTGGGAGAAATGGAGAGCTGCCATCTTCATGGAGAAATTAGGAATCTGATAGCAAAGACTGCAGAACACCTCTGGAAGCAAGATTAGATGAAGCAGAGCTCGATGCAAAGGGAGTGTTTTGTAATCACGACTCTACAGCTCCGTGACCTTGGTCAAGTTCCTTAACCTCTCTCAGCCTCAGTTTCTTAAAGCTATAAAATGCGATAAAGCACCCACCTCACCTGTTTGACAGGGCTGATGTGCTAGATCAAGTACAGGCAAATCACAGCCTCCAGGCCACATTCAGTACAGCCTGTTTTTATAGCACAGTGTTATGGGGAACACAGTGATGCCCATTCATTACGTGTCCTCTGTGGCTGCTTTCTCACTGTAGGGCCAGCCAGACTAGCTGTGACGTTGACTTATGGCCCTCGTGCTGACATACCTGTCTACTGCCCTTACAGAAAATGCTTGCCAGCGCTTGTGCTCTGTGATTGTGAGGTCTTGCTGTGCCCTTATTATATAACATTGAAATACAGACCCGCTGTGGTGTAGCGGGCTAAGCTCCTCCATGTCTGATCTGGCTCCCTGCTAATACTCCTGAGGAGGCCCTAGTATTTGGGTCCCTGCCACCCACATGGGAGACCCAGATGGAGGTTTCGGCTCCTGGCTTCAGCCTGGCCCAGCCACACCTGTTGTAGGCATTTGAGGAATGAACTGGCAATTGGGAGATACCTTTCTTTCTCTCTTTTTCCCTTTGCCTCTGTGACTGCTTTTCAAATAAATCTATAAATTCACAGGATTGCATCACTGAAACAATGTTACCCAAAACACAGTCCTTAATTAGATTACTTCTATTGTCCCAACAGTGTTTCTTATAGTTTTGGTTGTTGCTGTTCTAAGATTTTATTTTATTTATCTGAAAGGCAGTTACAGAGAGGCAGAGAGAGAGAGCGAGCAAGCAAGAGAGAGAGATTCCATCCACTAGTTCACTCCCCAAATGGTTGCAATGACCAGAGCTGTGCCGATCCAAAGACAGGAGCCAAGAGCTTTTTCCAGGTCTCCCGTGTGGGTGCAAGGGCCCAAGGACTCGGGCCATCCTCCACTGCTTTCCCAGGCACATTAGCAGGGAGCTGGATCGGAAGTGAAGCAGGCGGGAGATACCAGCGTTGCAGGCCATGGCTTTAACCCAACTTGCCACAGTGCTGGCCCCTGTTGTTTTTGATCTAGGACTCGCTCAAGGATTCCTTGTGACATTTAGTTGTCCTGTCTACCTTTTCTTTTCTTTTTTCTTTTTTTTTTAAATTTATTTATTTATTTATTTGAAAGGCAGAGAGGGAGAAAGAGAGATCTTCTCTCTGCCATTTCACTCCCCAAATGACTGCAACAGTCAGGGCTGGGCTGGGCCAGGCCAAAGCCAGGAACTCTATTGCGGTCTCCCACATGGTTCACAGGGGCCTAAGTACAATGGGCCATCATCTATTGCCTTCCCAGGGACATTAGCAGGAAGTTGAATCAGAAGCAGAGAATCCGGGTGCTAGCACTATGGTGTAGTATGTAAGAGCCACCACCTGCAGGGCCAGCATCCCATATGAGCGCCAGTTCGAGTCTTGATTGCTCCCCTTCTGAACCAGCTCTCTGCGATGGCCTGGGAAAGCCAAGAAGATGGCCCAAGTCTTTGGGCCCCTGCACCTGCATGGGAGACCTGGAAGAGGTTCAAGGCTCCTGGCTCCTGGCTTTGGAGCCAGGAAGAGGCTCAAAACTCCATTTTGGGGATTGAACCAGCAGATGGAAGACTTCCCTCTCTCTCTCTCTCTCTCTACCTCTGCCTCTTTGTAGCTCTGCCTTTCAAATAAATAAATAAATCTTAAAAAAAAAAAAAAAAAAGCAGAGAATCTGAGACTCAGATCAGCACTCTAGTATATAATAATGGCATCACAAGCAGCAGCTTAATCCACTATGCCTCAACCCTGACCCTTACTAGTTTTTTTTGTTTGTTTTTAAGTACATGCCTGCCTTTGTCTCCTCCTGGTCTTTTTCTTTCTGGGTTCTTCACTTTTCTTCTGATCTTTGTTTCCTCACTGTGTCTCCTGAGACAGGGTTTCAGTGACATGCCTGTCTATGCCCCTGCAGGTATCAGCCCACCTTAAAGAGCATGATGGATCTGGACGTGGTTAACATGTTTGTGATCGCGGGGGGAACTCTGGCCATCCCAATCCTGGCATTTGTAGCCTCATTCCTCCTGTGGCCCTCGGCTCTGATCAGAATCTACTATTGGTGAGTTCATTTTACTGCTGACATTTTGAAGAGTATCATGATATTGTCATATTCTCTGCTTGTCCTTTTCCTTGTTGTTATCTGTATGATTTCAGACATGCAGCAAAGTGGATTTTGAGGAATGTTCTCGAAGTATGGATGGTGGCTTTTCAAGGGCAGGCTCTTTCTGGTTCCTGATAGCACCTTTGCCCTTTAGGCCACCTACGTTCCTAAGGTCCCCTTCTGTCCTCGGGCAGCTCTTTTGGCATTTTCTTAGTCACTGGATTCTGACCCAGTGACGTTATGAAGGGTGTGGTCATGCAAAGGGAATTACAAAGACCAGGACCAAGCTTTCAGAGTTGTTCTAGAATTACCGCCTTACAGTTAGTAAAGTGACAGCAAAGTTCCAAAACATCTGTCATTCTTGTACCATCTCTGGTTCTTTCCCTATCTGCACACTATCTATACTTTCATGTTTTCTTTGGAGTGAGTCTCTTAAAAAAAAAAAAAAACAATTTATTTTAAAAGTGATACAAAGGGGCACTTTTAGCCTGGTGATTAAGATGCTGGTAGGACACCCGTGTCCCACATCACAGAATCTGGGTTCGACTTCTGACTCCTCCCTCTGGCTTCCTACTTATGCACACACCTGGGAGGCAGCAGTGATGACTCAAGTAGCTGGAAGCCTGCCACCCATGAGGGAGTCTTGAATTGTGTTCCTGGCTCCTGGGTTTGGCCTGGCCCAGTCCCAGCCATTGCAGGTATTTGGGGAGTGACTCCTGAGCTAAGAGTTCTCTCTGTGTCTCTCTGTTTTTTTGTCTTCCTCTTAAATAAATACATGTTAAGCAGTTGCTTTTAAATGTTACAACTTTAAGCAGAAAGCCTGCCACACTTGCCTTAAGTAGTAAATATAAAGAAGCAAAAATAAACACAATGGCATTAAACAATCTTATTTGATTCTAGCCCAGATACTGTTGCCTACTAAGAGCTCAGTGTCTCCTTTCTCTTTGTTACAAAGCATAAGCCTGCGGTGAAAGTTGGGACATCCCTGAACACAACCCTTTCTCCTTGATGGGGTTTGAAGGGTAACAGCTGAACAGAAAGCAACTTCCTCATGAAGCTCCTCGTTGCCTCTTGATGATGCTGTCCCTTCACCAAATACGGTCACCCAGGCGGCCCACGCCAGGCCCCCGTGGTGAGGGGGCTGCTGATGCAGACCCTGGGCCTCTCTGCCATGGGCCAGCCCTCCGAGACTCCACTGGGATTTTGGGAAGTCAGAACTAACTCCTGATCACAGAGAAGGAGCAGGGAGGTTGTGGGGCCCTTTCTGTGCCCTCTTTTCTGGCTCCCTTTTGTTTCACTGGATTGTGGAATTTTCCGTCTGCCAGCCACGTTCTGAGCCTTGAACAGAAGCTAATTGAACAGAAGGGAGTTTGTCACCTTTTTTCATCTTTTTGCTCTTTTGCTCCCTGGGCTGTGAGTTGCCCAGGACCCACCTCTGCACCGCTAAAGCCAGGACGCTGGCTGTTTCAATCCATTGCCCTAGCAGTGCCGGTAGCTGGAGTGCTGTGCCCTGCTGGCCCCTGACACGGAGAAGCCAGACTTATCTGTCCCTAGGCCGTGGCTGTGCCGAGGCATTGCGGAGCTCTACATCCAAACCTGATTTTTATAAAACAGGTGAAAGTCAAGCAGAGAATGCAGTTCACCGTAACCATGGCTATGGCTGCCTGCAGAGGTGCAATTATCAGCCACATTCGTTGGGCCATCCAGAACACTCTCAGTCAGGATGTGAGAATAATTTTGATATTTGATTTCTAAAGAGAAAAATAACCTTGTAGCAAATAGTTCACTTTTTATTTAAAAAAAATAGAGTTTAGATTACATAACAAAATTCACCATGTAAAGGTGTATATATGGTTTAGTGATTTTTTAAACCTATTCATTGTTGTGCAACCACTACTATTATAGAAATCCGGAACTTTCTGTTTCTTCAAAGGAACCCCCACACCTTATAGAAGTCACTCTTAGGGGCCGGTGTTGTGGCGTAGTGGGTAAAGCCACCCCTTGCAGTGCCGGCAACCCATGTGGGCACCAGTTCAAGTCCTGGTTGTTCCACTTCCATTCCAGCTCTCTGCTATGGCCTTGGAGGGCAGTGGAGGTGGGCCCCTGCACCCACGTAGGAGACCTAGGGGAGGCTCCTGGCTCCTGGCTTCGGGTCTGCTCAGCTATGGCCATTGTGGCCATCTGGGGAGCAGACCAACGAATGGAAGACCTCTCCCTCTCTCTCTCTCTCTCTCTCTGCTTCTGCCTCTCTGTAACTCTGCCTGTCAAATAAATAAATAAATCTTTTTTTAAAAAAAAAGTCACTCCTAGTCCCCTCTGCCCCATGCTCTGGCATCCTTGGGTTTACTTTTGGTCTTTTTGGATTTGCCTGTTATGAACATTTCATAGGATGGAGATCAGATCCTCCATGACCTTTGTGTCCGGCTTCTTTCCCTTGGGTTTCTCTGTGTTGTAGCAGGTGTCGGCCCCTCACTGTTTGTGGAGGGCTGAATTATATTCCACTGTTGGTACTGCGGCTTAAGTACGGGGTTTTTCCCCTCCAAAATGCATGTTTAGATTTGAGTCCCAGTGTGACGGTGTTTGGGACCTTTAGGCTGTGATTCGGTCACTGAGAGGGATTAATGCAGTTTGGCGCCAAGCAAGGCAGCCCCTTGTGTTCTTTTTTTCTGCTCTGCCCACCTGTCCTGCTGCTTTCCACCATGAGTTGAAGCAGCACGAGGCTCTTGCCAGAGGCCGAGCGGATGCTAGTGCCACGCTGCTGGACCTCCCAGCTCCAGAACCATGAGCCAAGGTAAACTCGGCTCTCTACAAATGACCCAGTCTCAGATATTCTGTTACGGCAACAGAAAACCAACTGAGGCCGTATAGTCACCCTGCATTCGTCTTCCCATTCCTTGGTTGACTGGATACTTGGATCATTTCCTCCCTTTGACTGATGTGAATAATGCTGCATAGCAGTCATTCACTTGCATCAACAAGCAATGCCAATAGGAACAATAGAGTCCCCCAGAGCGTAGTGTTCTGTTCCTTATAATTGACAGTACAGAGGCATATGATCTTAAAGTCTGCCCGTGCCTGCTGCCCTGCTCAGAGCTGTGGCTGGAAGACAAAAATGCTCTTTATCTTGTGAACTCAAGCACACAGGCCAGGGAGAAAACCCAGCTGGTACGGAGGATGAAAATCCTAGAAAACCTTTTAGATCATGCCAGGTGGCTTTGTGACATGACGGGAGGGGGGATGTGAGTCTAGTCCTAGAACCTGTGACGCCATGGCTGGGAGCTGTCAAAAGTCCTGTGGTGGCTCCCCCCCCAACCCCACAGAAAAGCACAGCCTGTTTTCCTTCATCCTGCAGGCAACACGGTGACATTTATACAGTGATTGTCATACGATGAGCAGCTTTCCCGTGAGTCACTGACAGCCCGTAACTGTTGCTACTCCTCCAGAGGCCTACATTTGGCAGACGGGGAGGCGAAGGGAGTCAGGTTGATTTTCAGGATGGCTACACAAACAGAAATAGCAGGCAGTAGGGGCAGCTTTGTGCCCAAACCCCTCCAGCCCCCACCCCCACCGCCCAGCCCTATGAACAAAAGGGTTTGGTGAAGTCATCCCACTGTGTGTTCCCCAGAGAACAGGAACAGGTGTTCCCAGCAGGTCACAGCCAGCATTCAGAGCAGTTCTCTCAGTCTAAATGTCCCTGGAGCATGGCCAGCTCATTGCCACAGTGAGGTGGGCTGTGGTTGCTGCCACAGGAGGTTCCAACCACTTCCCTTTGAGTCAAGAGGGAGCCGCTGCTGAGGGTGCTGTGGCCACTGTGGATGATGTCGGGGCCTCCCCGATTTTCATTGTGTAATGAAAGCATTGAGGGTGTTTATAGGATGAAAAAGATTTTCCAAAGTTTCCGTTTTCCCAAAGAAATTCAGTCCTGAAATCAAGATAATAAATCATAGCCAATAATTCACTTATAGAATTATAAGGGAAAAGAAGGGGATAATAACTGGAAGGGAAGAAATAAAACATGTCATTGTTTGCAGATGACATGATGTGTGTACATAGAATGTCCCAAAGACCCTCCATGATTCTTTTTTTAAAAAAAAGATTTATTTATTGGGCTGGCGCTGTGGCGTAGCAGGTAGAGCCACTGCCTGCAGTGCCGGCATCCCTTTATGGGTGCCGATTCAAGACACGGCTGCTCTACTTCCAATCCAGCTCTCTACTATGGCCTGGGAAAGCAGTAGAAGATGGTCCAATTCCTTGGGTCCCTGTACCCGCAACTCCGGCCGTTGTAGCCAGCTGGGGAGTGAACTGGGAGATGAAAGACCTCTCTTTCTCTCTGCCTCTCCTTCTCTCGGTATAACTCACACTTTCAAATAAATAAATCTTAAAAAGAGAGATTTAGGGCCGGCGCCGCGGCTCACTAGGCTAATCCTCCACCTAGCGGCGCCGGCACACCGGGTTCTAGTCCTGGTCAGGGCGCCGGATTCTGTCCCGGTTGCCCCTCTTCCAGGCCAGCTCTCTGCTGTGGCCCAGGAGTGCAGTGGAGGATGGCCCAAGAGCTTGGGCCCTGCACCCCATGGGAGACCAGGATAAGTACCTGGCTCCTGCCTTCGGATCAGCGCGGTACGCCGGCCGCAGCGCACTGGCCGCGATGGCCATTGGAAGGTGAACCAATGGCAAAGGAAGACCTTTCTCTGTCTCTCTCACTGTCCACTCTGCCTGTCGAGAGAGAGAGAGAGAGAGAGAGAGAGAGATTTATTTGAAAGGCAGAGTTGCAGAGAGGCAGAGGCAGAGAGAGGGGCAGAGAGAGAGAGAGAGAGTCAGTCTTCCATCTGCTGGTTCACTCTCCACGTGGCCACAACAGTTAGAGCTATGCCAATCCAAAGCCAGGAACCAGGAGCTTCTTCTGGTCGCCCATGTGGGTGCAGGGGCCCAAGGACTTGGGCCATCTTCCACTGCTTTCC